TCAGAAACACAACAGATTCGACGCTTGTATTAAATATAGCGGCTACATAAGGTGCTATCATTTCAATTATAGATGCAATAACTTTATCCGCTTTAATTCTGCCGTTTTCTTAACATCAGTAGTTTTTAAATATTAAATTATTCAGCGACAGTAGAATTTAAAAAATTTGTAATCAAAAAAAGTACAGCAGCAAAATGTTTCTCAAAAGCCAACTTCTTGAATCTTGATCAGATTGAGTTAAATTATTGTTCATATTCAATTTAAATCCGAGTTGCGTGGTTTGACCTTGCCCGTTTCACTAATAATTATACTCCACGTCATCTTCATTTTATTGGATACAGTTTTAATTTTTATTGTTTAAATGTTATTCATCTCAATTGAATACATTCTATTGAATAAGTTCATACATCAATGCATGCTTTTTTTACATACAGTAACATGGTATGGTGGTTTCGTATTGATCCCTATTTTTTAATTATTTATAAATAAAAGTATTTTCCTCATGCATTTATTAACTTTCATATACTTAATTTTTAATTTGTTTTCGTTGCAATTAATCCAGTTTTTCTTGAAGTAGAAGTGTCGTCATCAGTCAAACCTATTGTTGCAGATTGTGTAATATTTTAGAATTATTACATTGCACAAGCTCAGAGAACAGGCTTTTAGGTTATCTATGTACGTTTTAAATTGTGATATTTGCTCATTAGCCTTATTCAACTTATTCAACAGTAACTTTGCAACAATAAAGCTGAGAGCGTCTTCATATTCCTTGTTTCATTGGTCAAACTCATTAACCATTCTCTGTAGCTGATCTCTTTCATTTATAACACTTGTGTAAGTTACATATCTTAACCATATCACATTTTAATTTTGAGTTTTTGGCAATTATACTATCTCATTTTTATAATCCCTTCTCTTAAGCAACAGTTCACACTGCTTTTTGCAGCGCAAGCTTCGCCATCTGGCTCGTTTTATCCTCATTTACAACCGTGTATAGGCTCGACAAATCTTTCTTTTTCTCATAGTACAACTTAACAAAATCGACGTTATTGAAATTCCATCTCCGTTTATTACAATATTTATAAATCCCGTCACGAGAATAGAGGCGTTGCGCCTGCGGCTCCCTGACAGTGCCCAGTTTCGCTGATGTATACCGGTTAATTCTCTACCTTATTATAATTTGTGTTATATATATATATATATATATATATATATATATATATATATATATATTATAAAATCAAAATTATTTACGTAAAAAGATAGATTTTATAATGCCAAACTTCTTCATAGAAAAGTAGTCTCTAAATATAAGTTTTAATGGTTCTAAGTGCTGTGGGTGGGTGCGGTCGCATGTGACCTCAGGATTTACCAGGCGCATGCGACTGCATGGGAATTTTATGGAGATTGAAGGGTTAAATTTAGTGTTTACATTTTTGTGCGTAATGTGGAGGTAAAGTGATGTAATGGCCCGTTTGTATATATATATATATATATATATATATATATATATATATATATACAAACGGGCCATTACATATTATATAGTTTGTATGTATGTATTTTTTTTTTTATATATATATATATATATATACATACATTATACAGTCATTAGTCATTACAAAAAAAGATTTTATTGTATTTTGATAACAAAAAAAAACATACCAAGCGGATGTTGGCAGCGTGAAAATCACAATTATTTCTATATATAACTCAAAATTATTTACGTAAAAAGATAAATTATATTCACACAAAAACTTTTATAATAAAACGCTATAGTAAAACACTAACAAAATACTAGAAAAATCCAAAAATCAACACAACATCCAAATGAAAATGGCGTACGTAATGAACGTAGAATATAAATTAAAATCCATGGACTAACTGTCTTTTTATTCCACTAGAGGATAGAAAATTTCATAATGGTTCTATAATGCTAAATTTCTTCATAAAAAAGTAGTCTCTAAACATAAGTATTGATGGGTTAAAGTGCTGTGGTAGGTGAGATCAAATTTGATCTTGAATTTTGACGGAATATCGAAGCGGTCAAATTTGGACGCTTGGCGTTTGATGCGGTGTTTAATCACGGATATTATTTACCTATCAATATCCAAAGACTACGTTAAAATATTCCATTTAACTGTATTAAGTCACTTCTACAAAACAAATATAATATATTCAAGCCCTTGAAGTGATTAATTCGCCAAGTGTCTTCGAAGCAATGAGATCTTCTGCATATGACAACCACAGGACCGCGAGTGATGGATCCTGGAGGTTAGGCTGCTAGAAAATTAGGCAAATTTCATCATCACCCGTACTTAATTTTAAATATAATTATTATATTTACTTACTGCCAGACGGTCACACCTTTCCCATCCTATACGGGTTTTCCATCCCCGTTTCGAGTACTTTCCCTAGGGGACTTCGGGCAGGGTTGTTAGGGTTAGGGAATGTTAGGGCTTTTTAAAAAATAAGTAAAAATAACAATGTTTAAACAAATCAATATTATTTTCCAATAAATTTATCAATACATCCACAATGAATGCATTACATTACTTCCTAGAATAAAACATAAGTCTTCGACAGCATGAAACTAAACATTGTAAAGTATAAGATATGACGTATTTACAATAAGGTGGTTTAAACACAAATAAAACATAGAACATAACAAAATCAGTGCAACAATAAAATAATAAATAATTCTATAGACAGTGGTTCAACATAATAACGTTACAGTTAGTCTAGTGATAAAATTAATTTGTTAGTTATACAAGTTTTGTTACAAAATTATCTATTGGCCTTCACATCACAGAGCAAAGCGATCTCGAGGGTGGACCGACACCGATATTGCAGAGATCACAAGCCGAGTGAAACTAACTACTAACTGACCGCTAAGGTTACGTATCTAACGGGAAACCAAAAACATGTCGCAACAAATAAACTGCTATTAAAATCTAACAAATCTGCAATGAATCGTAACCATATTTATATTAGGACCCCAAGTCACCATTCTATTTAATTAGATAGCCGGGTCACGCTAGCTTCTCTCACATAATTAATACAGATATTTAGAGACAAATCTTACTTAAGGTAGATAGAGCGTATTGTATAGTTTATTTTGAAATGTAGGGGTCCCAATTACTGCTATAATATAAAAAATACAAATTTAAAGTTATATCCCAGAGAAGTTCTCAAATAATCAACTCACTCACACAAAAAACGAACAATCTATTGACATTCCTAAATCAAGGCTTTTGTAATATAAAACTGCAAGATGTAAAATGTCATGCAATCAAATTTAATCGATTCTAAAGGACTAGAAAATGCAAAGGATTCGAAAATATATCAATCAACGGCCAGAAGCAGACACGATGCCCACACTTCAAAACCTACACAAAATGATATGTGTGAGAGCTCTCGAAAGCGATTACGATGCGTTATCTCTGCGGCAGTCGATCGGCAACACAACCTATGTATAATATATTACATTGATGAACACACTAAGAAATATCAGTATAGATATATAGATTTCAATTGTACCGGTAGATTCGTTTCGCTAAAATACATCGCTCGACAGACAAATTTCTTTAGAGATTTCATATATTAGGAGACTTGGTACAATAATAATTTATTACAACTTAATACAGTCGTTAGGCCTTAACATTAACAATGTACAAGTTATTATGGCAGATATAAACAACGAATTTTATATTTTATCTTCTTTATCAAATACAAATACAGTTTTTTTACAAAAACAAAACGAATAAAATACATGCAATAACAAGTGCTCCGACCCCGCGACGTCGCGACGCCATTTCACTAACGAATGGCACTCTATACGCAAGGCTCAACAACATCAAAATCAACCTGCATCAATCGAATCAATCACCGCATTACAACCACACTGAAGGCGTATACACATGAAGGTTAGAGAACAGGAGAACAATCACTATGTACTAAAGCATAGCCCGCCTGTCCTTGAAAATTGTAGAAGTCATAGCGGCGCTGACGTCGGTGAGTAGTGACTGCGAAGTTAGCTGTTTATGAGTACAAGTAGATGAAGTTAGTTGAATAATGTACAAATTTTCATTTCATTTTTATTGAGAATATTTTCATGCTCCGTAATTTTGTAATTTTTGGCAATAAGAAACATTAAAAAATGGAGAAATATTTCATTGTGCGTGGATGTGCAAGTGGTTTTGCATCTGATCGGAAAAATAGACTGAAAATGACTTTTATAGACAGAAGTTTGCGATCGCAGCGCCTCACTGATGGTGTCCATATTTCTGGGATACTATTTTCTACGGCGATCATTCTTCTGTTCTCTAACCTTCATGCTACAACCACACTGAAGGCGTATACACCGGGTATGTTCCGAAACGTTTTCAGTATACTGCCGAATACAAATGACGTCATCAATTGACACCATATTGTACTGGCGTACCGCCGCCGTATTGTGTCGGATATCCGGCCACAATAAAACAATTTTCAATTGTGTGTGCGCTGAATGAAGCATGCCAGAATTTGTTTTTATGTATTCAAATACAAAAAAATATATATAATAATTGCTGGTATCTCCAGGAGGATATAATAATTTTTGGAGCACAAAATGACAAAATAATCGCCAATACTTTTCCAATATGGCGCAAATGTATGACGTCATATACTGTCCTATGTTTTAGAACGAATCACCAGTATAGCGTCGATTCATGACGTCATTTGCATTGGACAGTACACTGGGTTGTATTTTGAAACATACCCACCATATCCATTTTATGCTAAATTATCCTAACCCATAATAATATCCATTGGCCTTCGACTAGTGTATTGGTAAAAGATACGATTGGCGCGAATCGATTGCTCGTCACGTCGAATAGAAAAACTAGTAAGTAGTGAGCAATAATTTGAACTTGTATCGTGAAATCCCAAAGTGGGTCGAACGCCGCTCCGGGCGGGTGTCGGGGCTAAACGTACCCGGGGGGGTCCCAAGTGGCCGTCAATCAGGAGATGTAAGGCAGCAAGAGGTAATAAAGGCACGCGATCGCTATCGGCACTACCAGGGCTATTCCGTGCGTGAGATCTAAGCGGAGGGGTTTGTTCTGCAGTGCCGCCAACTGCGCTGTTAGCCGAGCTCTATCGGCGCACACTTCCGCCCACCTCTCCTTGGCCCGGACCAGTTCCTCCTCGAGCGCGTGTAGAGAACCGTTCTGAAGCGTCACTTGGAGCCGTTCTTCGTCGTCCAAGCGTACGTATTCGCTGACGATGCTCGTGTCGACATTCGTCGGCGGCTCGCTCGCGTCGCGATTTATCTCCGTCGCGGCCGAATCCGTTTCATCATCTTCGTCGTAATCCAGTTGGAACATTTCGTCTATTTCGGCGGAGATCTTCGTGGCGTCGATGTCTTCATCAGTTGCAGGTTGTTTTTCATCGAGTTTCACGAGATCTTCTAACGAATGTGACGTTTCAACGCATTTGTCGAGAGTGGATTTTTCTTTGTTCAGAGCTGCCTGGAGGCTTTCGAGCTGCTGTTCTTTGGCGAGTAGTTCGTTGCGTAGGCTGCCCACGACGGCGGTGAGGTCGTCGATGTCGGCACGTGTCGGTCGGAAGGCGAGCTCAGCCTCCATTTCGGCAGCGCTCGATGCTAACCGCTGTATTTCAGCAATGTTTGCTTCCTCGGCGACAGTCGATCGACTGAGTTGCGTCTATAAAATAAGAATACATATATGATGCTAAGTAGTTGTGTTTTTTTTTTAATTTTAAAAGTTAAAGTCAAAAGTTAAATAAAAAGCAACTAGCGTTAGTTGCTAGTAGTAGTTAAAGCATTCTTTGGCTAAAACTGTATATTTTTATATTACGTTATCATCAGTTCGTAGCAGTCTAGTAGTGGTCATATCCTTGTTTTAAGCAATCCCGGTAGCCGAATTTATGACTTCAGGAAGCTAGTTACTATAGCCACCATGTAAATCATATAAATATCACAACTTTAATATATAAGAAGGCTGATGGGACGTGATAAAAAAAACTTTTATGGAAACAATTGCACATTACCTAAAACATTTTTATTTAAAAATCATCATATCCACTCCGCGTAATAGGTACCGACAAGAGTCAACCTGCTTCTTCATGTATAGGCGCATAAAAAAATATAGGGGTATGTTGCTACTGATGACGTATGGGCCTCTATCGACTTTTATGTACCGGGAACCTGCTCATTTATTCATGTATCCATACTCATCAAGAAAAATACCATCTGTATTTTATTCATGACTCTTTAGTAATAATACTAGCTAATAAAAACAATACTTAACTAGTTTATGACAACAAAACCATTTTGCTTGCTTGCTGCAACGAAAATAATCATGCCCACTTTCCCAACATTGATTGACCTGTCACTTGATTCCTAACAGGTCGCGTCTACCTACAACTACTGTTGTATAAAAACAATTATTGTTTATAATAACATAATAACTTATCATCTTTTCATTTAGAGGCCAGGGAAAAATGCTATTAAGTAAATAAGTTTTTGAGGTTTATAACAGCCGTCAGATTAGGTCTGTACACTTATTTTTCTTTCCACGCCATAGTATAAAACCATAAAAAATCGTATCTAATCATAAATTAATAAGTTATAAAAAGAGCAATTGGTTATTTTGAACATTGATAAATCATATGATGAATGAACAAGTTTTTCGTAGTCTGAAACGGAAGGTGTAAAACACGTTTATTTATATATTTTGGACTTCTGGGCCCTTGAGCCATTGTAAAATACGTTCGGTCTCCAAAAGTCTATTGAGAATGATAAACATAGTAACATTACTTTTTTCCTGGCTTTATTTGAAAATTCAATTATGCGATACGAAATAAGCAAAAAATAAGCAATTTTATAAGATATTTTACAGCACTAGACGCGTTAGAAAATTTTCAGGTCAAGACATGATTCTTTCATTCGAAAACAACACATAACACATGAGCGCAACAAACATAATTATTATTTGAGAATGAGATTTACAATGAGAGCGGCCATACAAGGTCACCTTGAAGTTTAAACCACTAAAGCAGATATTTTATATTATTGTTCAATATAGGATGCTAGGAATCTGTATAGAAACTGCATAAACTGACAACTCTTTTAACTTTTCGCTTATTTTTAAGTTCAAATAATCTTTTATATAAACTCTTTTGTCATAAATGATGTTAAACGTCTTTTTCAACGCGCATTATACACTGAGACACTGAGCGACGATAAAAGGATGTGAATTTATTTATTGGATTTGTAGTTTGTAATCGAAAGATTTATATTTTTAACTAATCGGACAAACAAGTGGCTTAGCCACGAAAACTTGGATAATAAATAAACTTCCATTTTTAATGAAAAGGGAAGGCACTGAGGTTAATAGGCTTTTAGCGCTTCCTTCTCCGCTGCATGCACATATGTTTAGAACGAAATAAGCGTGTGATATTCGGTGGACAAAAAGTTACTTTCTTTGAATCCTCTTTTTTTATTTATTATTCAAATTAAAATCGTTTATTGCATCTATAATGTACAGTACATTAGCAGTTACAGTGACCATTATAGACCCTGTCGGGCGTTGCAATATACAAGAAAATAATTAAATGGACTTATAACTATGTAACATCATTATAATCTTCACAACATAAAATTTTATGTAAGTTGGCTCGTGTAAAGTAATATGTATTTGGCTGTACGCCGATGATGTTGCTTGTGCCAGCGACAACGGAGTCGTCAACATCGAAGATCTGAAACGTCTGATGTCGAATTATAAGAGCCCGGGGACGGGAAAAAAAGTGATGCGCGAGACGATTCGAGACGTTCCAGATCTTTCACTTTTGTAAGTCAACAGGAAATGCCCATCAGACTAAACAACTTTTGCTAAGACATCATTCCTATATATGTTATAATGTTGCTGGGCTTTGGAGTTCCACAACAGGTGTTCCAGATCTTCAAATTTATTCTCACAGCAGAAAATATTCTTCACGTGAAATATTTTTTGCTATGGCACCATTTTTATATTTCTTATACTTTTAGCTGGTCTGTTGCGGTTCTGCATTTCACCGATCCGGTGCGGAATGCACCGGATCCCAAGGGTACACTGAATTAACAATAATATTGCAAATCACTTTAAAAAAAAATCTTTTTAAACTATAGCTGTACCCTTGGCTTTGCTCGAGCAGTCTCAGAGAGCTATTCTGAAGACTCAACCTCTGATCCCTCTGTGTAACCGTTTCGGATGCGCGAGACAAAGAATGACGATCCCGGTCGATAGCTAAACGCATTTCTCGTTGTTCCACACTTTCCTGAGATCGGGTTTGTTTGTCGTTACGTCGTGCTAGTTTCTGCGGACAAACTTAGTGCATTACACTACATCATTGCATTACAAATCATGAAGTTTTTTATTGAATTAACTTAATTTAACTTCAGATTTTATATTGAATATTTTAATTGCCATGTAATATGGACTACAATTCAGCATTTTGGTTCTAGACGGGGGTAAATATAACCTATCTTTATGTCCAGTATTTACATTGTGTGTTTCTTTTATCTGGGTGAAGAAATGTTTATTTTTAAATACGAAGTTACTTATATCTTTTATGTAAATAGAAACTAAGGTTAATAATTTAAATTTAATGAAGTAGGGTCGGCAGCTATCATCATCATCATCATCATTACAGCCCTTCACAAGTCCACTGCTGAACATAGGCCTCCTCCAAGGTATGCCACAAAGCACGGTCCTGAGCCACCTGCATCCATCGACTTCCTGCATGTCTTACCAGGTCGTCACTCCATCTAGTGGGGGGTCGCCCTACACTTCGCCTACCGGTACTTGGCTGCCACTCGAGAACCTTTTTTCCCCAACTTTCGGCAGCTATGTCTGTTATCAATTCTGGCAAGTATCCTAACACATTTTTTTTGTAAAATGAACAATTCATCTGCATTTACACTATTACCCCAAAGGATAATGCCTCATTTAAGCCATGAAAAGGCATACGCGTAATATGTGGAAAATGCATTTTCTAAATTTGTGCTATGATTAATTTTATGAAATATAAAACATAATTAAACTATCCTAAATGCAGCCGATTAAGGACCTAATTCAACTAGTTTTACATTATATCAAAAAATATTATATATGGTTATCATATAAAAAAGGCGAATGTCAAAGATTTTTCCCAGTAATTACATTTTTTTGAAAATCCATTTGATTAAAATTTTAATTGAGTATTTCCTGTATTTTTCCTACTATAACTATTTTTCGAGAAGTATCAATTCTCAAGCGTTATTAGATTATCTGTACGCGATATAGACACAATATTTAAACAATCGAAATGTTCACAAATTACGCATGTGCATGGGTCAGGGAAAGGGTTAAAAATATGTCTTATACAATATGTAACGTAATTAACGCACACCCTCACACCCCAATTAGTATATTATGTTATAATCATAATACATACACTGAATTTTTAGTTTATCATTTTTATGCACTGATTATTTATCAAATTAGTTATACTAATTCCGGAAGAATGTTGTGGTCACAGTACAAATCCACGAACGCAAAGACTTTAAGGTGATTGAAATAGAGTTCATTTTTCTTTATTTTTATTGAATGACAGAATTAGTAATAATACAAATAAAACTGCACTCTTAAGCTAAGAACAAATTATCGGACGCGTCCGTCAGCCGCGGCTGACTGAGGCGGCTTATTGAAATCTAGCCAGTACATTTAATACTACACTGTGCAAACTATCGGTCGTAAGACGCGGACATGACCTTGCGTCGCTCTTGAGCGTTCAGATGTCCGAATAGAATCTGGCCGGCTGGATGTTTGTGCGTCCGCGGACAGTGTGAACGGGGCACGGGACGCGTCCGCGGACGTTTCAAGTGTCACAAGCGAACCAACTGCGCTCGCGACATGATGTGTGATGAAGAAAAATTAATTGAATGTCTTCATGGCCACGAATGCCTATATAACCACAAACTGCAGCACTATAAATTAATTCATTCATAAGTACATTTTGTAACGTTTATCATCTTTTTGTAAGCCTGGATACAATGTATGAAATTCTACATACTCGAGTCGTTTTACATTAATATCATGGACTCAAGCAATCCCTTTCCATTTTTTTAGGAGGACAACATAAAACAGCTGCCGCTAACTTTATAAATCTGTGGCGACATGCAATTTTGTCATTCTTTTGCATGTTTAGGTAACGGCGTACGCGCCGACGCGAGGTTCGTGTCGGTTGCGGTTGGGAATGCTCAGCTCCGTTAAATCTGCTTTCGTGACAGTCCGGGCGCCTTCGGATTTTACCGGCAGTCTGCATTAAAACGGCCTCAGCGCTAGACCCCACGCTCGCGCCGCCAGAATAACGGTTATTTTAAATCGCGACTAACTTATTCTCGGCTTCCTATCTCAAGCACTCCTTACTTCTAATTAATTGTATTTTCTTATTCATTTCTTTTTATCTTTGTGGCTTCGTGCTTGTAATTTTAAACTATCTTTGTAAAAGAAGAATATATACATTTTTAGAAGAGTGAAGACGCTTTTATTTGCCTAGCAACTAAGCCCACAGATCCGTCCTCGCTGCCGCTGCTTGTCATGTTTCTCGATTGACAAACCTTTATGGAATGACCGAAGCGAGGCGTCCGAAGACGCCGTATCGATTACCGTGCACACCTCTAAGCCGCGTCTGTAAGCCGCGGCCGACGGACGCGTCCGATAATTTGTTCTCAGCTTTAAAAGTCTTATCGCCTTAAGTTACGGTCCATTTCAGTTTGTTTTGACCGTACAGATTTAGTGTGACTGTAATTTACGTAGTTTTAATTATTTTTGGGATAAAAAAAAATTACCTATATTAAAAATGATAGGAATCGATTCAGTAAACGATTTTGAACAAACTGCTTTCTCAAAGTGCGTTAATTATGTTACGTGTTGTATACGATTTTTGTCCAAATTGGCGTTAATTAATTGGTTATTATTTAGGCGAGTAGTTATAAGTTTAGTTATGGCGCAGTACCTGAAGGTCTTGTATCTTGGCGCGGTAGGCGGCGGCGTCCTCGTGGTCGGGCGGGTCAGCGCGCTCACGCTCGGGCTGCGCGGCGAGCAGCTCGTCGCGCACGGCGCGCAGCTGCTCCGCCTCGCCCGTGGCCGCGCACACGCGCTCCCGCAGCGCGCGGATCTCCTCGTTCAGCCCCGCCATCACGCGCAGAATGTTCGCGTACTCCACGCCCGCTTTGCTCTAGTGTACACACTTATTTACATAAATAAACCATCACAAACTTAAATAATGTTCTTTTTATTTTATTAAGTACCTAAGCGTTTGTTACGGCCTAGTCACCCTGACAACGGTCGTTGAACTAGGGCCCACCAGTAGTCCAACTCGACGAGTAACAGAAGGTCGGGCACAAAATGGCCTATGGATAATGAAATTAGAAAGGTTACGAAAGGTACGCAAACACAAAACTTACCTAATTCCAGAAGTGGGGTTAACCACAGGAATAGTCAGGTGAAGGTGATGTGCGTGTAAGTGGTGTGCCGTATTGTGTTTAATGTGTAACCTGACATCCCCACTGATCCTGGACAGCAGATCCCAAGGCGTTGCCTCTCTCCAATGGTAGGATCCATCCAAGGGGCGTTCAATAATGGAAAACTTCCGCTTCTACTTTCACGATATTAGTTTATCACTTTATTGTACATTTAATTAACTTCAAGTTCAACCAAATCTACGTTAATCGACGTTAAACAGTGACACGCGGTACAACTCAAGGACCGTTGGTCAAAGTTCAATGTCCCAGGCTCACGTAGCACAAAACTACTAACTCGTCGATGCAATTAACGGCATAAAAGTTCCTTTAATCACTACAAATTCCAAGTAGACCTCTTGTCACGTAACACGTTCGAAAAAGACAACTAAACTCGAGGCGATCTAGACTATATTCTAATATTCAATAGTAAATCCAAAATGGCGCGCACAATTAACACAAGTCTTAATGCCTAAGAGGCATTAAGACTTGTGTTAATTGTGCGCGCTCAACCGTATGACAGTCAGAAACAATAGTATAATCGACCCGAGCTTCGCGCAAATAAACTCAAGAAATAAGCTTCGTTGTCACGTATATTAACGACCAAAAACAACACCATTGAGGCCTTCTATAAGTGACGCAAAAATTATATCAAACTCGACTAAATCGACCCGGGAGATTACGTAACACCAGACGTTCAACTGGCACGGTTTCACCGATCAAGGCATTCAGCCGACTGCCGCGTGGTCTATGCTGGCAACTGCATGCCCATAGCAAGCGCCTCTCTCCCCGCAACGCTGACCGGTTCCCCGCTCGAGACTCGCGTACGCAAGCTACAGCTTGTAACAATCGAGCGCAAACACCGTTACTGTAATAATTGCGGAATGCCTACCTATATTCAGCTATGAACTTTGATAAGCTGCAATAAATAAAAAACCAGTCACGAGTTTGGGTGTACGAAAATGAGTTAAAGCCAACAAAAATTGTTCGTTCACGGAGTGTTGCAAAAAAATGGTGGCCACGTTTGTCTCCAAAACCGGCCATGTTTTTTTTTATAGAAGAGGGGCAAACGAGCATGCGGCTCACCTGATGTTAAGTGACTACCGCCGCCCATGATCAACCGCAACACCAGGGGAATTGCAGGTGCGTTGCCGGCCCTTTAGAAAGGAGTAAGCTCTTTTCTTGAAGGTCCCCAGGTCGTATCGGTCCGGAAAAAAGAAAACTCCTAGTGAAAAGTACCAAGGTGGACCAAGGTGGGCCAAGCATCCAGATGGTGTGGATGGTATCGGGACGTTCGCCGCGTAGTGCGTTCACGAAATTTGGCGGCTGGGATTAATCCGAACAATTCCTTAGAGCACTCCCCGTGATAGATGCGATAAAATACCAGCCAGCCAGCCAGCAGCAGAGATAAAATGCCAGTGCATCGAGCCGATCGGTAAGCACTCGGTCGTCGGCGATTCGAGTCGCTCTGCGCTGGATGCGGTCATTAATGAAAACATCAAATCAAACCAATGAGTGCTAATAATCTTCCGCTCAACAGATAGTTGACACTGAGGTAAAGTTTATTGTTACACAATGTCATTCAATTGAGAAGTTAGTTTTAAATAATAATTATTGGACAGGGTTATTAAACCGAAGAATCATAGGCCCCTCTGAATTGCCGGGTAGCCTGAATAGGGCCAATTATTTAGAATTTCTTATTATACGTGGTAGAGCCATGCTGCAGTTATATTAGTATTATAGTTGTAGCACGAATGGGTCGGCTCGACCGGGGAAGGACCACGCTCTCACATAATATTAGCGTGAAATAATAGCTTAATGCTGCTGTGTTTTGTATGGTGAGTGTAGAGAACCGAAGACCCTTTTTACTGGAAACGAGACATTCCATCTTAATCCTCACGGGTGACAACGCATCTGCATTTTGATTTGTAATCGAGGATAAGTGTAGATGTCTATGTGCCGCAGCAACCACTTACCATCAAGTGGACTGTGTGCTCGTTTGTCACCCTATCCTATAAAAAAAATCTGCAAAATGAGCTGCCCCATTCATTAGAATACTACTACTACCACTAGCCATCCGGCGAAGAATGTAACTCCAAAATGATGGTTGTCCGGCACATTACGCCGTCCAAGTACGGAGTTACTTAAACGAAACCTACCGTGACCAATGGATCGGCCGAATGGGGCCGATATTGTGACCACCAAGATCACCTTATCTTATCCCATTAGATTTTTTTTATTGGGGCTGCCTAAAGGAGCAATTTTATAAAAACCAATTGAAACAATCGAAGAACTTAGACTTCGCCTCACGTCAAGGGATATTTCAACCAAATATTATCAAATTCTTTTAGAAAAATCGCTTGTAAAAAGATGTAAAGCCTGCATAAAGGCAGGAGGAGGCCAGTTCGAACATTTTCTGTAAATAATTTTAAATAAAAAAAATTGGATATAACTTTTTTCATTTTCTTTTCATTATTACTCATCCTTAACAAATGGAAAAAGTACAAACCATATTTTCACAGCTGTACATAATAGAACATGTCAAGTTTCATTGTTTGTCTCGCTCACACAGCTTACAATTCATCCAAACAAGGCGAGCAGGTAGTATAGTAAAATTTTCACGTAATCATAAATACATGCAATGTTTAAAAAAACTACTTTTTAATTGTTCTTAGCCAGTGCTTAGCTACAATACCACCTTATGGTAAGTGGTGATGTAGCCTAAGATGGTGAATCGCACCGATTTAATAAAAATAAATTCACTCTTGCCTTGAAGACACCCACATTGTAATCGGATGGAAAGACAGATGCTGGCAACTTATTTCACTCCTTTGCTGTATGCATGATGAACGGCGTGGCAAACCGCTTGGTTCGAATGCGTGGTAAGTCAACAACGAAAGGGTGGAGACTGGCCGAACGTCTGGTTGTCCGATGGTGGAAGGGAGAGGGAGGAATTAAATTATGTAATTCCTGCGCACACTCTCCGAAATGCATCCTGTAGAAAACCGAAAGGCTGGCCACTTTGCGCCTGTGTTCGAGGCTAATAAGATTGGTTTGTGGCGTAACTCGCTTCACTTAGACCTACGTAAATCCGTTACGCGCATGAAGATTAAGCCACACGCTTATGTCACGCCACTACCAGGGAACAATACAAGTCATCGATAAGATAAGGGCCCGCGCCTTCATCGGAGCGCGAGACTGTGCGACGTTCATTCCGCCTGCAACTAGCAACAGGACGCGACGCGCTACTTCTCGTAGTTAATTTCACCTTGTAAATTTGTTTGTAGTAAAAGTTGTTTGTTACATAGAAATAACATTACTTCATTCGAGTCAGTTAATTCTTATTCCTATCCTTCATTAGTATTCGTTAGTTACAATATAACGTATTTGAATACAACGTTGGGTGTGGCGATTAGGTATTTAGTAGGAATACCGGTCTACCATACGCGACCACACCCACAGTTTTAACCAAATTAGGGTCACCAATAAGCCTCTTAGCACGCCTTTTCATTGAATCAAAAGTTGCTAGGTGGCATTTTGCAGCACCAGCCCATATATGGCAGCATACTCCATGCACGACCAGACTTTTTTTCTATAGGAGAGGGGGCAAACGAGCATACTGCTCGCCCATGAACAACTGCAACACCAGGGGGATTGCAGATGCATTGCCAGCATTTAAAAAGGAATAGGCTCTATTCTTGAAGGAAGTCGTATCGGTCCGGAAAAATCTCTGGTGGTAGTTCATTGATTTGCGCTTTATATAAAGTAAGCAGCTGTAACGGGCTTGAAGTATCGCCGCACCTTTGTAAGGACTTCAAGCTTCCTTGCAGCTGCTTCGGCCTCGGACTCAATGAACCGCCCGAAGTTCAGATTTGAGGATATTTCAACCGCTAACAACTGGAGGCGGACGGTATATGCCCGTGATACATTTCGGAAAGAAGGAGCCAAGGTGAGCTGGCTTCTTTTTGCAGCGAAGAGACACGCTTGTGTTTTGGAGGCGGTGAATTTCGCAAGATTAGCATCGCCCCATCCGCAGACTGCCTGTAGTGTAAGATTCACACGCTCTACCATAGCCTCTCTTTCGGACTGGATTTGATCCCGACTGGGCCGAAGACTTGGTTGGTATCTCTCCACAACTGTGCTGTCGTCAGTGTAGCCATAGATACCGAGCATAAGCAAATCATTAATATGCAGCAGGAAAAGAGTTGTGGAGAAGACGGACCTCTGAGGAACACTGGCGTTAGTCGCCACAGGATCGGATGAACAGTCATCGACGACGACCTGGAGACAATGTTCACTCAGAAAGACTTTTAACCAGTCAATCAGATTAGGGGATCAACCGTACGCTGGAAGCTTATCCAAAAGGCTAGCGTGCCAAACCCTGTTAAAGGCCTTCGAGACATCAAGGGAAACAGCAAGTGCTTCTCCACTGTTCTCGAGTGCCTCGCCCCATACGTGTGTGACATACGCTATAAGGTCCCCATCTGACCGGTTTCGGCGAAACCCGTATTGCTGGTCACTAAGAAGGTCATTCTGTTCAAGGTAATGCCATTAAGCGGGCGTTCAGTATACGCTCTCTTTAAATTTTCTGCTCTTTAAATTATCTGCAAATAATTTTGTAATGAAATGCCTACTTTTATACATTAACGGCTATAGCTCACTAAGGTAATGACATTAAGTACATGGTATGCTACTGTTTTAGAATCCTCATGATGTAGGCAAACTTTTTAAGTGGTTGACCATACAGATCCCATTCGTTTTTTTACCATAGGTCCTCAACTTAGCAGTTAAATAAAGTAAAAAATTAAAACTTTTGTTTAGTGCCGTCTTTTAAAATACCACCTGTAGTAGTTGAAAACTTTTAAGGGTAATTTAGAAACATCATTATCATTATTACCCTGTTTAAGCAAGTAAACAGTAAAGTAAATAGTTTAAGTAATAGCCAATTAAATTGTTAAGTAAATAGACAAATAAATACTAACGTATTAGTCAAGTAGACACAATCGATTATATTATTACAGGAGAGATTTTACAGGAGCTAGGATAACATTGATATGTATAAATTCGTTTTTGTTAAAATAAAGATTTTTTCAATTTTCAATTTTTAATTAATTTTCAATTTTCAATTAATCAATTTTCAATTAATCATCAAGTAAACGTAGTTTATACGTCGTAAAGCCACGCTGCAACTACATTATGGTTGTAGGACGAATGAGTCGGCTCGACCGAGGAAGGACCACGCTGTCACAGAATACCAGCGTCAAATAGTAGCTTAATACTGCTATGTTTCGTATAGTAAGTGTAGAGATCCGGAGACACTTTTTCACTGGAAATAAGGCATTCTTAACTCTTATTTCTTCTTTCATTCTTAACTCTTATTTCTTTTTATTGATTCTTAATTGACGATAAATGTAGATGTCTATGGGCCACAGCATCCACTTACCATCAGGTGGACTATGTGCTCGTTTTTGTCATCCTTATTCTATAAAAAAACGTACTAACACGTATTCATATGTACACGTAAGCAATGAATATTTAAATAAATAAGGAAGTACATAGTCAAGTTAACACTCAAGTATTAAGCGAGTAAATAGTTAAGTAAATAATGATATAAGCAGTCAAGTAAATAATCAATTAAATAGTCAAGAAAATAATTAAGTAAGTAGTCAAGTAAATAATCAATTACGTAAAACTATTTTAAAATTAGTTATATAACCAAGCAAATAAGAAATAATGATATAAATATTTAAGTAAATATTAACGTAATTATGTAAGTAAGCAGTCAAGTTAATAAGCAAATATTTATTCAAATAAATAAGCGAAGTAATACTACGGAAATATCAAGTTAATAACTAAGTTAATTTTTAGGCGAATAAATAAATATTAAGTAAAAAAATTAATTAACAATTAAGTACTGTTTACTTATTAGTAAACAATTAAGTAAATATTTTAGTAAATTCAAGTAAACATATCAATAAAATAGTCAAGAAATTGTTAATTAAATAGTCAAGTAAATAATCCAACATATAGTGTATAAAGAAGTAATTAGTCAAATAAGTAGACACGTAGATATGAAAACAATCTAGTCAAGAAAATATCCAGTAAATAATTGAGGCAGTAAACAAGTTAAGAAAAAATCAAGTAAATAGGCAAGTAATTGGACAAGTCGACAAACAAGTAATGTCATATAAGTAAACAAGTAAATAGTAAATTAAATTATCAAATACATATGCAAGCTAGTAAACAAGTAAATACCAAGTAAATAATCAAGTAAATAATCTAGTAAATAAGCAAGTAAATAGTCAAGTAAGTGACCAAGTAAATTGTATATATTATATTCGATTGGTACAAAATTCCAATTGCCGCGTGGTAACAAGAGAAACCAAAACTCTATTTCGTCACATGGATGTAGTCACACATTATCAATCGGCTTGTCAAGCATGACGATTACTTCAAATCCTCGCAACAACAGGTGAGTCCCATTTCCAGCAGAGTACTTTTACGACCTGATGAACAAATGAAGAAAACCTTCACCGTATTCTGCATTCTGTAGTCATAGTAAGCAGGTTCAATAGTGTGAGGTACAGACTATTTGCTTACGAATCATTTTTTTGGACCACAGCGTGCCCTGGTACCATATTTACTATGTGAAGTTACGAAATTTGGTCACAACGTAAGTCAGTATCAGCCCGTAATAGCCACATAACTAGCCCACAGCTACACATAAGCCTCTTACGTTACACTTAATAGGTGGATTAAAGATGGCATAATCCGACGTTTCGCACCTTTGACGCTACTGTCCGTTGTCTGAATATTTGACTTGATCAATTCTCAATTCAAAGCAACTTACCGGCGACTCTTCCCTCGTGCTTGACTCGCTGTATGTCGAGTTCGCGTTGTTGTCTGCATGCAGCTCCCCGTCTAGAAGACTGGACGATTCCTCATCGTGCTCTTGGTCTGAAATATAATTAGTTAACATTATGAAGATAGGGGTTTTTCGTTTGTCATCAATTCAATCAAAATTAAATCCAATCAGAATTTCATGGATTTTTTTAAAAGTATAGATAACTTTTAACGAAATAGAAACTAAATATCTATTTTAAGGCGCAAGAGAGATACATAGTTACAAAGTAAATTAAAACTTTAACGAACTACATTGCAGCTGTAATACGGTTGTAACAAGAATCACGCTCTTATGCTGGGGCTACACTAACGAGAAACGCCAATGCCCATAAACGCAACAATTATTTCCTTAAATTTAACGCGATAAAGTGAGTGAATACACTTGAACGGTCAAAGGCGTTTCAATATCTATGCCATTAAACGGCATTAAAGTTGGCGTTATATAATTCCTTGTATTGATGTATAATTGTTTTATAATTCCTTGAATTCTGAAATTGTTATATAACTCCTTGAATTTTAAGCAAGATGGACGTTGACGCTGCAACTCTATATTTGATGGGTGTACATTTTTATTATTTGAATATATTTTATCATTGCCAAACGAAGAAAAACCCATTAGGCTTTCCTTCTTCTTTTTTTTTTAATATCTTCATTAGATGTTTGAAAAGATAATAATTTCATAATTCATCGCCAAGCATCATTTTACGATGTACGATTTTTAAAACTTTTGAGTCTTGGATCCCACAAACATATCTCTGTTTGCAGAATCTCGAGAAACGTTGTAACTTTTTATTTATACCACTCCATCTTAGCCATACGTGCAACCCCGTTGCACTCACCGTGCACAGTTGTGCACAGCATCGTAGTGTGGCCGCTTCAACGCGTTAAGTCGTGCGTTAATCCTATGATGTACCGCCACTCGAGTTATCACCAAACGTGAAACGGCATTGTTAATGCCGTTCTTAAATTATCGCGTTAACTCGTGGCCACACCTACATTCAACATCCATTAACGCGATAATTAACGGCATTTCTTGTTAGTGTGGCCCCAGCACTACAGAATACCATCGTAAAATATTTTTGCTGTATTTTATATGTTGGGTGTAGAGAACCAGAGACCCTTTTTACTAGAAACGAAGCATTGTATCTTAGTTCTCAGAGGTAACAACACATTTGCTTTTTGTTTCCTAATTGAGGATGAATGTGGATGCCAGTGTGCCGCATCGTTCACAAGTCATTAGGTGAACTGTGTGCTCTATTATTTACATGTATATTATTTAAGTAAAAATATATCGATCAGTGACCATTAAATATTCACAAATATATCAAGGCAGTGACACAACCCCATTTCTCATGATGTGGATATTCACAATGAATAGTATAATTTTTTAAGTAAATCTTATCATCATTAATCATTATTACAGCTCTTCAGAAGTCCACTGCTAGTTTAAAATGGATATTATTCAGGCTTCCGTCTAGCTTTGCTAATTTACTTTCCCCCTTGCGTAAGTACGTTTGAGATCACAGGCGAAAGTTGCTCTACTTCATTAAATATATAACTTACTAATTTTTTAACCTTTTTATATTTCATAAATGTCGTTTTTAGTAATATATATGGGGTATAGGTTTAAAAAGGGTATGTACAACCGAAGGAAAAAAAATACTGCCTCTTCATACAAATTTCGACTCTAACTCGTACATGTATGAAGAATCAGTAAATTTTTATTCTATTTTCGATTTTTTTTTTGTATTAAATGTGGTTAAGCTACATGATTCCAGCTCCTCCCTTCATATTTATTTATTTATTAAGGACAGCCAACAAATCTTACATCAAAAACAATAAATTCTTAAGCTATTATCTAATATTGAAGCTAAGTGCAGATTCAATTACAGGCTGCCACGACATGCAAATGTGAGTGTTTAATGTTTGATTAAAAAGTATTTTTTATTAATTTTTAAATATTACTTATTACATTTTTATAACAAAAACTAAACAATCCAAAATTATTCCGTACTCAAACTTGCACCTAGAAGTATTTTTTTGAATTTAGAGAGGCTATTTGAATAAATGTCTACGTCCGTTTTTTTCTGGAGCTCATTGTATTGTCATTGCAGCCTGTTCATGATCGCGTAATGGCCGAGATTGCTTTTGGATTCCTTGGTAGCAAATGGTGTGTATTTCCCTTTTCGCGAGAGTTTATAGGGTGTATTAAGGCGAACCTGTTCCAACAGTCCAGGGCAATCCAGACCACCTCTTACAATTTTATATAAAAACAAATGATCCAATATAAGCCTCCTATTTTTTAAGCTTTTAATTTTGATTTTTGAAAGTCTATCAGCGTACGAAGGCAACTGCTTAGCTAGACCGGATTGAAATGACACATACCATAAAAATCTTTTCTGCACACGCTCTAGTCGCTTAATATACACTTCGTAGTGTGGTGACCAAACCGGACTGCAATACATACTCCAAAATCGAACGAACGTATGCGTTATATAATAAAAATTTTGTACCTAATTTTAGTTCGTTACAGTTACGAATTACAAATCCTAGCATCTTGAAGGCCCTACACGTTACGTCTTCAATGTGTTTGTGAAAGCGAAGATATAGAAATATAGAATCTACCTCTTTAAGTTGTTTTCCATTGACGTGGTACGAAGGTGGTGCTTGCAACCTTTGACGTGAAAATCTAATAAAATAACATTTATCGACATTTGGCTCCATTCAATTTTGTTCAACCCAGTTTGCCAGATTATCAACATCTTCCTGAAGAAGCTGAAGATCAGAGGATGAATGGATTTCTTTACAAAGTTTTAAGTCGTCTGCAAAAAGATAGACCTTTGAGTATGTACTTTAAAACCGAGACTATATCATTTATAAAGAGTTATATTATATGTTAAGTTGAGTAGGGCCAAGATGAGAGCCTTGGGGTACGCCTGAAAGAACTAAATGTGGATCAGAAGTAAAACCTTCAACGACTACACTTGCCACTCAACCTGATAAATAGGAAGAAAACCAATTAAGTAATCTATCCCCGAAACCATACTCTGTCAGGTTAGACAGCAGAACACTATGGTCAACTCTGTCAAAAGCCTTGCTGAAGTCGGTGTAAATAGTGTCAACTTGATTGTTCTTGTCCACAGACTAACTAATATCTGACACAAATTCAGCAAGGTTCGACGCAGTCGAACGACTCCTTACGAACCCGAACTGTTGAGTCGTAATAAAATGTTTTATTTGCCAGGATAAAATAGAACAGAGAAGTGATTCGAATACTTTAGCAATTATTGGTAGCAGAGAAATCGGTCTGTAGTTTAATAACATGATTGACAATGATATCGGATATAAATGATTATTTTTATACAAACTATACATACAAATAACGCTTGTACCTGTTTTTTTTTCGAAATCGTATAGAGAAGTAAAAATGGAAGGCAGTTGATAAAAAAATCAAACAAAAGAATAACTGAATACACAAATATTTATTTATTTAGTTTGTTACAGCATTAATGTTACAGAATTAAAGTAAGGAATTTTTTTCGGGTGGTGTAATATTGTGTAGGGGTTAACTTTTTGGGAATTTTTTTTGTTTTTTATTTTCTATTGCTTCTATTATATACGGTGGGTCTTTTATCGGAATAAAACGTTCAAGGCGCGAAACAATTAATTCTTGAAGCAGACAACTGTGATATAAAACTTTGTCAAAGGGGGCAGCATTTTTGTTTCCCTAAACTCTTTATCGCGTTCTATATATTCTACTTTCATCATATGATGTTCACTAGTCCAAACTGTAAACACGCAAATATTTTGTTCTGTTATATTCAATTGGTAGTAATAGTTGTGGTTTTTATCTACTTTGAATGTTTTTGTCGTATTTCCAAAAGGTTATTTTTTTCTTTAATGGCGTCTTCAGGGTGCATCTTTGGCAGCAAAAGAACATTTAACCTCCAGAACGCTTGTTTCTTCTTCCTCATCCTTGAAAATGTCATCAGGAGTAGCAGCCAAGAAAAAAAACGTCTTGTGAACATAAAGTCTACCTTTTGAAATTTTTATTTTTTCCAGACGGGACAGCTACAGTATTGCTTTTTCCTCATTTTATTTTCCATATATAATATATTGTAATAGTGGAGATGAACTGTCCACTATTAACAGACTCCGAGTGGTTTTCTTCAAGGTGGAGAAATGAAACTACTGTTTATGTTTATGAATGTACTGTCGAATGGGATTCGGAATGGAATATATTTTGCATCAACCTTGCCTATATTTATATGGCTGGCTCACTATTGATTTGCCAATGGTAACAATTAATATTTCGCCTAGCCAATTATATTGCTTATTTTATGACCAATGAAAACTATTTAAAATATACAATTATCTACGTTTCGTTTCCCGGCGTGAGACTTGTTTGTTGTTCACGAAGCTACGTCGCTGGACCGGGCTATATAAGACATGCAGATCGGTGCGCACGCGTAGTCGGCGGGCGGCGGCGGTGCGGAATACAGCTCCGGAACAGCAAGAGGAAACGGACTGCGGCGTTGAAGAAACGGCTCACCATTGGTCGACGGATACGTGACGATAGCGGCGTGTGAAGTCGGTGTGGCGCTGAATGATATTTGCGGCTGCTTCTTGTTTCTTTATAAGAACGTCAAATTATCTATATACAGTCCGCAGTATCTCAGTAGCCAAGAATAATTAGGAAATAAAATGTTTTTTTTATTTATTCTCGCCTTCCGCGTTATGGTAGCAGCGGAGTATATATTATTTATTCCCGTTTAGGTTTGATTAATCTGGCTGCTACATCACTCTCCCCCCAGCGAAAGCGTACCGGAGGCTTGACGACTCGCCCGTATTTCGTAGTTTTTAAAATAGGTTTCAACTGGGTTGATGTAGATGATGAAGTTTCAAGCTTCCTCGCTGGTGGTTTTGATGATGATGATGAATCCTCTGCAGTATCCTCGTTAATAATATAGGCAGGCTTTAGTCGGTCGATCGATATAATCGTAGATTTCCTTCCGGGTATTTGTAGTTTAAAAGTCTTGCTATTTCTCTCTAAT